TCAAGATGGATGGCTTTTGTGGAAAAACAAATAAAAATACAAATATATACTTTGTTGAGAGTACCCTTACGTTGATGTTTATATTTAACAGTAAAAGGGCCGCACAGGCAATTTGGGCATTTGGCGATACAACACTTATAGAATTGAAGGATTTGTTACGTCAAGCGCTCAGGTATCTAAATTTTGATCTAGTTGCGCTTCTATGTCATTTCGATTTATGTTGCTAACTTAACTTTCAAAAAATTCTATGGCTGGCAACAGCATTTTTATTTTGAAGTTGTTTATTTTTATTTCTTTTAGAATTCGTTTTTTTTTTAGAGAAATGTTTTTTGACCTAACAGAATTCTTTGCCGACTGTTTTCTCTATAAATAAAGAAAATAAAGAAAATATTTAAGTGTTGTAAAAAGGATCTTATTTAGTTGTACTAAGTACTTCAGCCAAAATTTGGGAGCCACGTAAGAGAATTATATATATTGGATCAGAAACACATCATTAAAAGGCAGAATGCTTTGGTGTTTTCAAAACGTAAACAAAATAAAGCAAACGTTGCCACCGGAGGAAAAGAAATACAGCTAAAATTTGGGAGCCACGTAAGAGAATTATATATAATAGATTATATCGCTTATGGGCTGCAATACTGGCACAACTCAAAAAACATTTTGGACTAAGAACAGGTGTAAATATGAAAATACACATTCTTTCAGCAGCAATACTTGCACAACTCATAATTCAACTTGAAGGCAATCTTCGTTTAAGCAAACGAAAACATTTCTTACGCATTTTCCTTAGCAATGAAAACTTATCTCAAAACTTGATTTTTTCGAGTTGTGCCGCTATTGCAACCCATGAGCGAATTAAATTGAATGTAGGGTTTAATGGCAAAAGTCCACTGAAGGACATGCTGCTCCAAAGAAACAGTTTTAAAGTAAATCTTAGGTAAATTTTTCTTGCTAAAAATCACACGGAATTTATAAAACTGAATACAGCAAAACAGACGTTTTCAAAAGTGAGTAAAACCAAATAAAATGTAAATATGATAAAACAGTTGTATTCAAAGTTGAAAAAAATCAAATAAAATTGTAAATAGAATAAAACAGTTCTATACAGTATAAAAGACCAATTGCGCGTAGAAACGCAAAAATTTTAAGATGATGGGGATCGACTAACAAATCCTTCAGGTTAAAAATAGAACTACCGAAAAAGGCAAGACGATGACGATTAAAACACCAGCAAATGATTAAAATATGATGAACAGTGAGTAAAAATTTACAAGTGCTGCATTGGAGAGGAGGTTCTCTAAACAGCAAATGTAAGTTGATCAGCCGAGTGTAAACCATGTGAGCGATATATATTTAGTTCTAACATTGACAATCATGATATTTATAAAAGAAAACGAAGTCCTATCTCTATAGCCTAATTTGAAAGCTCTTATATATATTTAAATTATGCTTAAATATCTATTTTGAAACTTACTTTTAAAGATATAATCTATGAAGAACTTTAAAAGCAAACGTAGAGGCAACCCTAAGCGAAATATCGTGATAAAAAACCATACAGAACGCATGTTAGACTGAATATTACAGTTAATTTCTAACTCAGTTGCTAAACAAAGCACTTACAGATAAAAATAAAAAAACGCAGATAAAAAGTATACTACCGTTAAAATCATATTGTGATAGTCAACTGATAATAATTCACAATGATCTTACTTTTTTGCATATTACATTTCACGTTTGTTCACGTAAATGGATTTGAAATATATTTTAAAATTGTTACGATATACTCCTACATTTTGTAGAACTAATCATTCAGCAATTATTATAGCATTAAATTAAATTTTTATTTTATCTTTTCTTAGGAATACATCGGCGGAAAGGTTTCCGTTTTCCCCATTTGTGTGATAAGACTTTACCTTTTATTTCATGTAAGTTTCCGGTTTCACTTTATTATGTTTAGTAATGCTTCTTGTTGTCTCTCAAAGATGGCGCTCATGATTTAAGTTGGGGAGTTCGGGCTTTCGAAATCAGCGGTTCCAATATAGTGTTCCGCGGAACCCTAAGTTAACGAGGTTTCGAGAGATAAAAAGTATTTTTTAACCGGTAATAACTTTGTAATTTTTATTTATATTTAAATCTAATAAATAATCCATTATCGATTTAATATTTTGGTTGTCTATAGGAAATTAATAAAAGTAAAATGCCAATAAAAAAGACGATTTTTTTTTTAAAAACATAATTTTTATAATAGCAATAAAATTAATTATTTATGAAAAAGACACGCATTTATAAAAAATTGCCGTAGTATTCCTTATCCGGCTTTTCAAATCAAAATAAAATAACTAAATTTGCGAATAAAGAAATGTGTTACCCTAATAATGTCCCGCAGTGGACTGATCGTTATGACACGGTTCCCAGCAGATCACCGAAGTCAAGCATTACTGGCTGAGGTCAGTGTGCGGTGTGGGTGACCACTTGGATCAGTCTGCGTAGGGACCGAGGGTGTGTGGTATTGGTCCTCGTTAAACTGTTCTATCTTAAAGTGCTCGACTTCGCGTGTAGGTCGTCGGGCTACCGAAGCGGGGGTGCCATCCCCTCTGCAGAGGATCAAAATTGTGAAGGCATGTCTTCGGATCATCCTCAGGGATGCTTCCCAGACCGTCGCCAATAGCCCATTGTGCAGCTCTAGTGCGACGTAAATGAACTACAAATACGTTGCCCTTATAATAATTTTCAACTTCTATAGCAGTTCTTTTTAGTTTTCCTTTCAAAGCAAACTTTAATTCTGCATATCAGGGGTCTGTTTAGAAGAAATTTGGGTCCGTTAACGGACCCTTCACAAAATATTTTAACTTAAAAACGAACCCTTCACAAAATGATTTTTCTTTTAATCGGGCCCTTCAGAAATTTGTTTATTTTCATTATTATTTTGTTAATCGAATAAACCCTTTCCAGGGCAGAAAACAAGAAAGATGGATGTAAACGAATTAAGTTTTGTCTTCAGCAGACGATTCTTCCATTATTAGTCAGAAATGAATATCCTGCGTTCAGCAGTATAGGCTAAATATCAAATATTTGTATGTTGCATCTCTAATTTAAAAGCAGCAATTGTTGTTTATTTTTTAAATTTTAATTTTTTTAATTATAATTTTACAGTGTTGAGCATAATCTTGTATGTCTTTACAATTCAAAAACTCCTTGAAAAAGTTTTTTTTGTTGCAATAACGGACCCTATTTGCACAAATTCATAAAAGCGGACCCTGGTAGAAAGAATGTGAGTAATTTTTTCACAATTTCACGAAAAACGGACCTTTCACAAAATGTCTAGACAGACCCCTGCATATTTTATTTGTTTTCAACTTATTCATATACACCGAAAACAAATTCATTTCTGAACTAGATAAAGCTCTATGATTGCGAATTTAACTGTGAGACATAAAATCTAATTTAAGATAATTAGAGATGAAATGCTTGTAAAAAATTCTTTTTCTCTCCTCTAATTAAATATTTTATATCCGTCGTTGAACAGCCCACCCAATTTTGGGTTTACGACTTCTAATGCTCAACTCCTTAACCTTGCAATTTTAGAACCAATATTAAAAGACAAGGGAACTCCTCGATCAGTACTCAGTACTTTTCGACTTGACAGATTTAACGTGCATAAGTTATCATTTACTACAAGCGGAGTCTTCGGCCGGCCTGGGATCGAACCCACGAACTCTTGTACTAATGTACGAACTAAGTAGTAATGAAATTACTGTGAAGTAAATGAGATTCGCATGCATGACATTTAAAAACTTCATAGCATGTTTATCTGATCTTTTATATACACTATAAAATTATTTAAATATTGTGGCAGCCATGAACTCAATCAGGGTCTGTCCAGACATTTTGTGATAGGTCCGTTTTTGAAAAATTGTGAAAAAATTAGTCGCAATTTGTGAATATAAAATAAACGTTAAGTCACATTCTTTCAACCAGGGTCCGCTTTTGTGAATTTGTGCAAATAGGGTCCGTTATTGCTAAAAAACTTTTTCAAAGAGTTTTTAAATTGTTAAGACATACAAGATTATGCTAAACACTGTAAAATTAAATTTTAAAAAATAAACAGCAATTGCAGCTACTAAATTAGCGATGCAGCATACAAATATTTGATATTTAGCCTATACTGCCGAATGCAGAATATTCATTTCGGACGAATATAAGTACCTTTCCTGGGAAGGGTTTATTCGATTAACAAAACAATAATGAAGATAAACAAATTTGTGAAGGGTCCGATTAAAAGATAAATTATTTTGTGAAGAGTTCGTTTTTAAGTTAAAATATTTTCTGAAAGGTCCGTTTTGATGAAAAGATATTTTGTGAAGGGTTCGTTAACGAACCCAAATTTCTTCTAAACAGACCCCTGTCAATATAAATGCTAAATAACATAAATTCCTACTACTTTTTGTATCTAATAAAGAAAAATCTCCTACTTTTTAAATGTTATTGTAATTACTTATTCAAAAGTCGCTAGAGTTATTATTTTTTCATTTCAAATATTCAATCACATAAATTGCTACTATTATAAGACGATATATCTTTAGCTTATACCAATGTCGTTTTAGTTATTATTTCTTCAATTCCAATACTAAATCAGAAGTTTCCGTCATGTTTACTTGATATACTTGAGAAATATCTCTGGCTTATTTAAATGTCCTTTATGTTATTATTATTTCAATTCAAATGTTAAATCATACAAATTGCTATCACATGATAAACTTTAGAAATATATCTGGCTTATTTCAATGTCCTTTTAGATATTATTTCCATTCGAATATGAAATCATATACTATATTACTGCCATTTTATATACTTGAAAAATATCTCCGGCTTATTTCGAATTTTAGCAGTTATTATTATTTCAATTCAAACTCAAATCAGATAAACTGTTTTCCTTTAATATACATGAGAAATATTCTATTCTTTTAAATGTATTTCAATTCAATTATCAAATCATATAAATTTTAACCATTTTGTATACTTAAGAAATATCTCCGGCTTATTTAATTCTCATTATAGTAATTATTATTTTAATTCAAATATTAAACTATACATATCTCTTATACTTTGTCGCCGACTTCGTAGTAGTATCTTTGTAATATCTCGCTGTAGTTAGTATTTCAATTCAAATGGCGGATATAAATAAATATCAAGTCGTCATTTAAAAATTATTTGCGAACGTTTTTCTAATTTCAATAATTTTCTTTTTATTGGCTTACTTACTTGAAGGATGAAATATCTTTAGTTTTGAAAATTTTGCTTCTTAAATCATTTTTCAAGAAGNTCAGGGATGTTTCCCAGACCGTCGCCAATAGCCCATTGTGCAGCTCTAGTGCGACGTAAATGAACTACAAATACGTTGCCCTTATAATAATTTTCAACTTCTATAGCAGTTCTTTTTAGTTTTCCTTTCAAAGCAAACTTTAATTCTGCTTATTTTATTTGTTTTCAACTTATACACATATACACCGAAAACAAATTCATTGTTGAACTAGATAAAGCTCTATGATTGCGAATTTAACTGTGAGACATAAAATCTAATTTAAGATAATTAGATATAAAATGCTTGTAAAAAATTCATTCTCTGTCCTCTAATTAAATATGTATTTTATATCCGTCGTTGAACAGCCGACCCAATTTTGGGTGTACGACTACTAATGTTTAACTCCTTAACCTTGTAATTTTAGAACCTATATTAGAAGACAAGGGAACTCCTCGATCAGTACCCATAGGGGTATTGATTTGTTATGGGAACATGGAGGACTTTTCGACTTGGCAAATTTAACGTGCATAAGTCATCATTCACTACAAGCGGAGTCTTCGTCCGGCCTGGGATCGAACCCACGAACTCTTGTGCGAACTAAGTAGTAATGAAATTACTGTGAAGTAAATGAGATTCGCATACATGGCATTTAAAAACATCATAGCAAGTTTTTCTGATCTTTTATATACACTATAAAATTATTTAAATATTGTGGCAGCCATGAATTCAATCAGGGGTCTGTCCAGACATTTTGTGATAGGTCCGTTTTTGAAAAAATGTGAAAAAATTACTCGCAATTTGTGAATATAAAATAAACGTTAAGTCACATTCTTTCAACCAGGATCCGTTTTTGTGAATTTGTGCAAATAGGGTCCGTTATTGCAAAAGAACTTTTTCAAGGAGTTTTTAAATTGCAAAGACATATAAGATTATACTCAACACTGTAAAATTATAATTCAAAAAATTAAATTTTAAAAAATAAACAAATAGCAATTGCAGCTACTAAATTAGCGATGCAACAAATAAATATTTGGTATATGGCCTATACTGCCGAATGCAGAATATTCATTCAGACGGATGAAGGAAGAAGCGTCTGCGGAAGACAAAATTTAGTTCGTTTACATCTGTCTTTCTCCCCCCCCCTTCCTGGGAAGGGTTTATTCGATTAACAATAATGAAGATAAACAAATTTGTGAAGGGTCCGATTAAAAGATAAATTATTTTGTGAAGAGTTCGTTTTTAAGTTAAAATATTTTCTGAAAGGTCCGTTTTGATGAAAAGATATTTTGTGAAGGGTTCGTTAACGTACCCAAATTTCTTCTAAACAGACCCCTGTCAATATAAATGCTAAATAACATAAATTCCTACTACTTCTTGTATCTAATAAAGAAAAATCTCCTACTTTTTAAATGTTATTGTAATTACTTATTGAAGAGTCGCTGTAGTTATTATTTTTTCATTTCAAATATTCAATCGCATAAATTGCTACTATTATAAGACGATATATCTCTAGCTTATACCAATGTCGTTTTAGTTATTATTTCTTCAATTGCAATACTAAATCAGATAAGTTTCTGTCATGTTTACCTGA